CACCGAAGCTGCTATCAATGTTTTCATAGCAGCACATATATGAATCATCTATCTGAGACCTAATAACCTGCTAGGCACAAAAAGGAGACAAAATTTGCAGGTTAAAATCTTCTCAAGCCTGAGAGACTGTCCTATAAACTAGGTCAAGTTTTCATGAGGATATATAGCTATACATAGCTGTGCAAAAGAATCCGGCTGTGCCAGTTCTAACACTTTTAATTCATTTGTAATATTCTTGAGTCTCTAGTGAAGGGTGGCGCGGCCAGCTCTTCCTATGCTGTTACGCCTTACCCCCTCAAGGATTGAGAGATCATCATGCAATGTGAATGGTGCACTGAAAAGAGAGTTGCGGACATCTGGTTAGGAGCTCAAACTGCTAATATGAAGAGAAGTATGTAAAAAAAAAAGATACATACCCATTGAACTCGAAATGGGCAAACTTCGAGTCATCTGAAATCTCAATTTCCACCCTTGCTTTCCTAGATGTCTGCTTAAAGAAAAAATGGCATTAAATACACTTGCACGTATCTTTTTGCTCGTGATCTTTCTATATGCCAGTGTTTTATGTAACTACATATCTGAGGGAAAGACATTCCTAGCACCGCGTAGGAATACCATACAATTTATAGTAGCGCCATTGGTACTGTTTGTTCTAATCTACGTTGCTATGCTACGTTAGGTCAGCAATCATAAACATGGGAATGCCAGAGTGCAAGTTGAGTACAAGGGTGATCTAAATACAGCTATATGTTACAGCTTAGTTGCAACTGGCTGGGTTAAGCATCTCTGACAGTTGCAGCGCAAGAAAAAAAATACCTTGACCAATACGAATGGAAGGCGGATGCCATTAACATTCTCTGCTGAGCTTTCCAGTGTTTGGTTACGTAACTTGATGTTTTGGAGATCATCAAACTTTAAATGAACAAGAAAGAATCATCAGGAGATATCAAATACACCGGTATATATATAGAATACTACCTCTGTCCCAAAATATAAGATATTTTTGCAGTTCAATTTTAACTGCAAAAACATCTTATATTTTGGGACGGAGGTAGTAGTAAGAGACAACAAAACCAAAGAAAAGTTGCTGCACATTGTAAGCAACTTACCTGTTTTTCGATTTCCTGGAGGAGTGCCTTCTTGTTCCTAATCTTGTTGACGAGTTCTTTACGAACTTCCTATAAAAAAGATGGTAGCAATCAACTCATAATCATACAGGAATGGATTGCTGTGCATCTAACCTGCAAAGTAAGCACAAAAACTGACCTCAAGCTTCTTTATTTTTTCATATCTGTAATTTGAAAGGCCCATCCACCGTATCTCCTTTTTTTCTTTTGCAATAACACGAAGTGCAATGAGAACGTTGAAAGCATCATACACTCTCCGCCTAATATTCTTCTCATCAAACTACAAAGATAAATTTGTTTTCTTTTAGCACATAAGTTTTGCACAATTACAGATATGATTTTGTTTCTCCCGCGAAAAACAAATAAATATATGATTTTGTTTTTTGCAGTTTGATGAGAAATGGACTTGAAAGTTCTCGGTGTGATGTTGACATTTAGCTTTGGTTTCAGCGTTGTAGTGTTTGCTGTAACTTAATCGCCCAGTTTTCTGCTAGGTTGTTGTGTTCCAACGTTATAGTTGCAAAGACAGTAAGGTGGCGGTGCTGGTTAGAGGTTCTAAAACGTGTGGATGTTTGTAATAAGCTTCCTGGAACCATGACATTTGGCGGGCCGACACTCTGTATCAGTTCCATGCTAAACGAAATTGGGAGCCATGCTTCTTAATTCAACTTTTTTTAAAGTATATGCGAAAAGGGAACAGAGAAGTCCATATTATACAAATAATAGGAACAAACCCCTTGACCAATATGTGCCATGGACTTCAGCTCTGAATAAATTTCGTCTGCAACCTGTAATAGAAAGTAGCTGGTTGAGGTAGTTAATGACTCAAGCGGGGAGAAAGTAAATCAGTTCCCAAGCATATATCTTTGAAAGGCGTGTTATGTATCAGCAAAAATGGCATGGCAGCAATGTAATACAAGTATTGATTTTTATGCCTTTCAGCATTTAAATGGCAGGATAATTATTTTGCATTGGCATTCAGGATGCTCTTCGTGCTTCACAAGCAGACTGCACAGTTACAGGTTAGATAAAGCCATCCAAAATTACAGCAAAACTCCATTGATATTTAAACATGGCATTCGGGAGTGATTTATCATGGCCAATCAATGAAGGATACACGCGTTTGAGCTTTGGAGAATACCTCATTGTATGTTGTTCTTCCTTTGGCTTCAACTTTCTCACAAACTGCAAAATCATGTCAAATGCTCATCAGGTCAAAGTACCAGTGTGTTAGCAATTCAAGTTTACACTCATGACAGAAAAACATCTCGCATCAAAAAGGTTACAGTGAAACATCTAGTACAAGGGTATAACCCCTCTATTGCACATCTATGACCTCACGAAATTTCTATCAACGCAACTTCTTCTGACCTAGAACCAGTGTACACCAAAAAGTAACCGCAATGAGCAATGAGCTTTGCTATATACTGATACATCATTTGTAATGTCACCTACCATACTCTAAATCCCAACATGGCATCAAGCTAACCACCAACGTTTTCTTCCAATCTGACGTGCTTTGTTGTGCCGCTTCTGCAGATGGACTTCGACATCCTCATACGTATACGCAGGAACAACCTATCTAACTCGGTGCACAGACATACATCAACCTTGGTCTGCTCAGATAAACATTCACTACTTGTAAAATGGTTTGGCAGCCCCCTACTGTGATAGTATTGATGGCAACAATACTCCAGCATAATACTGTGGAAGAACTACAGCTGATCATTACCACACAACAGCACAACAGAATACACCACAACAACCAAAAATCAGACAATTGAGGTCTCAACCACCGAACGCCCAGCCTGGGAACCCTCGCCCTCCCCCTCCCGGTTGCTCCCGCGAGCGATGCCGAGGGGAAACCCTAGCCGCCGGCCTTAGGGCCCCTCCTCCTCCCCACCTCTCCCCTTGCCGGCGCCAGTCGCGTTGACGGGCGAAGCCCGGTCAGCAGCGGCGGCGGCGAGGCCTCTCTTCCCCCGCTCGATGATAGCTGACGCGGGTCGGTGTGGTCGGGCGGCGGCGCGGCGCTAGCAAAGGGTGCGGCGGCGGCTGGTGCTGGCGGGATGGGCTCTGTGGTGCCCCCGGCGTGTTCTGCCCCAGAGTTGTGGCGGCAACCACAGTCGAGAATCACGTGGGGCCCCCTTCGGCGTGCGCGGGGGCATGGGCTGGCTCCCGGGGCTTCCCCGTTTTCCCTTGGAGCAGATCTGAAGACGGAGGCCCTCCCTTGAGCTTCTTGCCTCGCCGGCCGGCGCTGGCGGCCTCCTCTAGCGGTTGGTGGGGCTGAGGATCTGGTAGGGATGGATTGGGGGAAACCCTTGGCTGGTTGCTGCGGCCACGATGCAAGAGGCGCCCCGCCGTCGTTCTCCTTCTTGAGGGCGGCATCGCGATCCTACCCTCACCCTCTCCTTCCTGTCCCAGGTGGAAGTCCAAAATCTCCGGATTGGGTGGTGACGGCGCTCTGGCGTCGTTTTCTTCTTGAAGGCACCACCTTGGGACAGCGGAGTGGTGGTCGAGGCTTCAGCACGGGATGTGGTATGTCGGATATTTTCATTGGTGTTCCCGCTCAGCTGCTTGCAGTTGAAGTTGATGCCGAGTTGATGCCTGCGAACGGCGGTGGCGATGTTGGGGTGTGCCGCTGCATGGTGAGGTGGCCGTGCTTGTTGTCCTCTTCCCGGCAACCAGATGGTCCTGGTCATGCGAGCTCAGGGGTGAGCGACTCTGCCTGTCGACGGCGCAGTGTCCTCCGATCCAGGACTAAAGGGGGCCTTCTTCGAAGGTAGAGGAGGATGGCGGACCAACAATGGCTGGCCTCTAGGGAGTTGACGGAGCATGGCAATCCTCCTGCAGCGGTTCACTACCTTGTCTTAGTCGCATCGTGTGCTCGCTCTTGTTCGCCAAGCGCCTCGATGCTCAAGCTTGCGCTTGGTGCATTCGGTGCTTGTTAGTGGCTCCTTTGCTATCATGTATCCTTGTTGTTTGTGTTTCTTCTCTTTTCTCTCTTTTTTGCTCTTTGTTTTGACTTGTATGAACCTGTGATGTGGTGGTTGTTTTATAATACAAAGAGGGGACCTTTTTCGTCAACTGCCAGGAAAGATCGCTCCTAGCTGGCAGGGTTGCAACAGCCAAACATCCAGCCGCCTGCTTGCAGCCGCTGAATGACCGGCAGGCAAAGCTGCCGCTCCTAGACGCGTGCTCGCAGCCGCCGACCGCCCAACCGGAAAAGACGTTGTACTCCCCTCAAGCCGCCTACTTCCAGCGGCTGAGATCTCCTCAAGCTCTGCACACAACCGCCTTTGACTTTCCCCTCTCCGCCTCCGCGCTGTCTTTTCCTTGTCCATACAGCCAGCGCAACAGTAAAAGAATCTCGTGCCCCTAGAGCCGCAACGCGGTGGGAACACATGGTACGATTGACTTCACCTGGGCCGAGGCATGCAAGGCATGGTCAACACCGGCTGACTAATGGGGAAAGGAGCAAAACAAACTCTGGATTGTTGTGGGCTCTCGAAATTGTTGCTCTGAGGGCAACTCCAATGTACGACCCCAAACGGATCCGTTTTGTCCGCTTTTTGTCCATTTGGGGTGGCAATGGGGCGGCGTCCGCCCGGATTTGTGGATGCGCCGGCGGTGCGCCCAACGCGCGGCCGCATTTCGGCCGCGTCTCGTCCGCCAGAGGCCATTTATACTAAAATCAACCATAGCAAATAGTTCAAATCAAACAAAGCAAATAGTTCCACATCCGAAATAGTTTTACAACCCAATTGAAATAAAAACAACATCAAATAGTCTTACAACCCAATCAAAATTTGTTTGCATGAAAAAAAATAAACCAATAGATCTACTGGTTGCCAATATGAGTCCACATGTGCTCAACAAAGTCAATCTCAAGCTGCACATGAGTCTTCCAATCACGCATTTCACGATGAAATTGGACAAACTGTTGAAAAGTTGCAGGAGGTAGCTGCTCAGGCTCAACATTTTCACCCTCGAAATCGAACCCTTGGTCGTAGATGCTATCACCACGCTCATCCTCCACGATCATGTTGTGCATGATCACACAAGCAGTCATCACCTCCCAAAGCTTCTGAGTGCTCCATGTTAATGCAGGGTTTCGAACGATACCCCATCAAGATTGAAGCATAAAAGCACACTCCACATCCTTCCTAGCACTCTCCTGCATTTGGGAAAATCTTTGTCTCTTCTCTCCTTGCGGATTGGATATGGTCTTCACAAGAGTTGACCACTGAGGATAGATACCATCAACTAGGTAATATCCCTTGTTGTAATGGTGGCCATTGATCTCAAAGTTGAACTCTGGGGAATGGCCTTCTGCAAGCCTTGCAAACACTGGAGAACGCTGAAGCACGTTGATATCATTGTGAGAACCAGCCATGCCGAAGAAAGAATGCCATATCCACAGATCTTGTGAAGACACCGCTTCAAGTATGACAGTGGCATCTTTCACATGCCCCTTGTAATGCCCCTGCCAAGCAAATGGACAGTTCTTCCACTTCCAGTGCATACAATCTATACTACCAAGCATGTGCCCGGAAAGCCCCTATCGGCATTGATCGCCAACAACCTCTCCGTATCAGCGGTAGTTGGCTCTCGTGTACTCAGGGCCGAACACTGCCACCACGGCCTTGCACAAACTATACATTGAGAGGAGACATATGGACTCACTCATACGCACATACTCATCCACGAGATGACCAGTGATTCCATATGCAACCATGCGGATAGCCGCGGTGCATTTCTGGTAAGAAGAGAAGCCAAGGACATCCTCTTTGCACTCAAAGTATGGGTCATATCCTACCACTCCCCCCCGAATACGATTGAACACATGTCTCCTCATTCGAATCGGCGATGAAATTGATGTGGTTTGAAGAGTGCGGCATTCTCAAAGTAATCGGCATAGAGAAGGGTGTGGCCTTTCTCCCTATTGCGGTTCAAGGACGGAGCATGGCCAGGGATTGATCCCCTGAACCGAGGCCGCTTCCTACTAATGTGGTCATGGACGGCCAATGTAGCCACCACAAGCTCTTCATCATCCGAGGACGGATCATCCGATGAGCAAATGAAGTTGTGAAAGAAATAATAAACCCCACTATCCATTGTACCTTGTGAGCAAAGCGTCGAACGCCTTGCGGTCGTGGTGGAGACGTGGTCGGAAAGTGCACGTCATGCTCCCCTCGCAGGCAGCAAAGCAATGTTTGGGGTCGATGGTGGTGGTGGGCGCTCTGCCGCAATGCACGACCTGACGGAAGTTGTTGGGGTCGATGGGCGACGCCGATGGACGTAGCTTCTCTCACACCGGCAACGAGGAACCACAAACGCTGGCAAAAAGCTTTCCGGAAGGCAGGTGTGGGACAGCTATGGCATGGCGTGGTCGTGGTTCGGACGGCCTTGGTGGAAGGCAACGCGGCCAGGAACGGGGGTGGTGGCGGCGATGGCGGGGGGCGAAGGGCGGAGGGAGGGCAGGGGAAGAGAAAAGGGACGGCTGTGCCACCGATGGGTGGGCCAAGGGGAGGGCGGCACGTGCCCCGCCCGTCCGCGCCCGTCCGTTTGGCCGCAAACGCGTCCCGAAGTTGGGCCGTGAATGGGTCGAAAGCGGACTGAAAACGGACATTGGTCCGTTTGCTCCCGCGCGTTGGGCCGTCTGTTTTGTCCATTTACCCCCAAACGGACGCGGACGGACCATTCAGGGTCGCGCGTTGGAGTTGCCCTGAATCGACTCATATCGCTCCACCACGGAGCCACTTGCCAACAGGCCCACCCATCAGCAGATCACTCCACAAAGCACAGCACATTGACCAAGTCAAATTGTGGACTGAATCTCAACTTGAAGACACCAATTGATTGAGAGAGCTCCTGCACCTTCTAACCTAGATTGGCCATTCTACAATTCAGTTGGGGTAAACAAAGCAATATTCTCCGACAAAATCCCTCCACAAACGGAACCTACACCAAGATTGGAATCTGCTACAGCAATAGCCAGAGCAAAGAAAGCATTGGAATCCCACACATCGTCTATGAAGAACACCAAGCCCCGCATCAAATCGCCCAAACTGGTTCCTTCCAGAAACGTTCCACAAATACCCCAGCAATATATGCGCGACGAATCACGCTAGTTAATTAGCAAACACTCGAGCTTTAACCATGGCGCATAATCTGACCTATTTTGCTGTACTCGCGGAGCCCCCAACCGGTGATCCTCGGTGCCGCAGCCTTCTCCTTCTTCCTATCTTTATCCGGGTCAACAGCCCCCTTCCTTTGGACCGCATTACCGCCGCTGCATCAATCAAGAAACCCCCAAAAAAATCCCCTCCCGTAAAGCCTCGATACGAAGGATTTGATCAAGGAACCGAGAGCAAGGATGGGTGGTGGTTACCGTTCGGGAAGCGGGGGGACACTGGAAGCTTCGAGAATGTGCACGCCGGTCAGGTCCAGTGCGGCGGTAGCGGCCGCAGCAGCTCCGCCGCGGGGAGGCGCCATTGCGGTTCGAGTGATGTTTCGGCTGGCCAGAGAGGGGGGAAGAGAGAGGTCGTGTAAAAGTCGCTTTTTTCACCCTTTACCAGAGTAGTACTGTAACTTTCAAGGAGGAAAGGGCAGGTCGTGGACATTTATTACCTGTTCACACCTGTAAATTTCAGGAAAAAAAGAATTCATGAGGGTTGAAATCCTACCAAATTAGAAATAATACCAAAAACAATACAAAATCCACTTGATTCAAATAAGCCCTTAAAACACACTACGAAACTACTTTCGGAACCACACTGCTTGGCCGATTCATGCACGATGCATAATCGGACGATGTTCTACCGTGTGCCTTCTTACACCGATGGCTAGATTAACAACATCGTCCATAAATCATGCAGCCTACGTCGTGTGTACAGCATCGTTCTAAACACATACAGTGTGATAATATTAAAAACATGGACTTGGTTCTAAAATATATTCTCTCTGTTATTCGCAAAAAAAAACATATTCTCTTTGTTTCATTTCACTTTTCATATTAGAAAATCTATTTATATCAAGGAAAACTATGAAGTGTTGTTTAGACTAGGTAACGGTGATGCCCTACCTCATAAGTGCCATAAATCTCGTGCATGTATTGCCTCACTACACCTCCACCTCTAGCTTCTAATACACAATGAAAGAAAAAGTAGGAAAATAATAATACACAATTAGATGTAAATTAAAAGCGGTAGAAGTACTTATAGAAAACTATATACATCCATATGACCCACACGTTTGGTAATCTTTCATGCGTAGAAGCATTTCAAGCATCCAGCTCCGTACATAACGATGGACCATATTAGTGTTGAGGGGCACTATAGAAATTAAACCCTATTACCTAGTACTACCCATGAGTCGAGTCCCCGTAACCCCTTGAGCCGCGCCCCCTCCAGGGCGATTGGGGGCGGGCGGGGGGGAGGGGGGAGGGGGGCTAGCCCCCCTATCACCGCCCCCCTCCTCATCGCCCTCGTCGTCCCCAATCGCGGATGTAGGGTAAGCTCGTGCACCACCGGTGATGGGAATGGCGAGGATCTGGTCATGTTGTTGTTGCCTAGAGGGGTAGGAGGCACGGGATCCTCCTCCTTCGGTCGTTTATCCAGGCGACAATCGTGGGATGCTAAGTCGGCAAGGGGTGCAGCCGGTCAACGGAGTGACGGAGTCCTGGATTAGGGGGTCTCGGCATGTGAGTTGCCCATCCTTTGGGTTGGGATGAGGACCCCCCCCCCCCTAAGCCTATTCCTGGCAGGCCTTGTTCGTCTGGTCCAGAAGCATTAAGAAGGAATGACGCAGAGACTTGGCGTGTACTCCAAGACGTAGACATAGTACTCGACATGTTTGCCCCTTAGATACAACCAACCATGTGTAAACCCTAGGTACCCGGTGTCTATATAAACTGAGGTGCCGGAGGCATAGAGGGAAGATTCATTCACATCTGATCTCATGGTAGATCAACTTGATGTGGAACGAAGCATGAAAATCAAAAAAAAATCCTACGAACACCCAAGATCTAATCTAGAAGATGCATAGCAACAAGAGGGGAGTGTGTCTACATACCCTTGTAGACTGAAAGCGGAAGCGTAAAAACGCAGTTGATGTAGTCGTACCCTTCGCGATCCAATCACCATCCAAACCGATCTAGCGCCGAACGGACGGCGCCTCCGAGTTTAGTAAACGTGTGGCTCGATGACGTCTCTTCCTCCTTGATCCAGCAAGCGAAGGGGGAGAAGTTGATGGGATCACAACCGACACGACGGTGTGGTGGTGGTTGTGATGCACCGGCAGGGCTTTGCCAAGCCAAACTGGAAGGAGGTGGTGGGAGAGAAGGGAAGGGGTTGTGCTAGGGAAGGGGTACGACTGCCCTCCCACCCCCACTATATATAGGGGCAAGGGGGAGGGGTCGGTGGCCCTAGGGGGTATAGCTTGCCCCCCAAGTGAAGGGGGCATCTAGAGGGTTCCCCCAACCCTAGGTGCATGGGCCAAGGGGGAAGTGGTGCCCGGCCCACCAGGGCCTGGTGCGCCCTCCTTTGATGCCCATGTGGCCCTTCAAGGCTGTTGGTCCCTCTGGTGGACCCCCGGAACCCTTTGGTGCCACCCGGTATGCTCCCTGTGGACCCCCAAACTTTTTCTGGAACTTGAACAAAATTTTCCCATATATACATCTTTACCTCCAGATCATTCCGGAACTCCTAGTGATGCCCGGGATCTCATCCGGGACTCCAAACAACCTTTGGTCACCAATGCAAATATCCCAATACTACTCTAGCATCATCGAACGTTAAGCGTGCGACCCTACGGGTTTGAGAATCATGTAGACATGACCGAGACACCTCTCCCGTCAATAACCAATAGCGGGACCTAGATGCCCATATTGGTTCCTACATATTCACGAAAATCTATATTGGTTGAACCACGATGTCGAGGATTCGGTTAATCCCGTATTCAATTCCCTTTGTTTGGCGATATGTTACTTGCCCGAGATTCGATCGTCGATATCTCCATTCCTAGCAATCTCGTTATCGGCAAGTCACTTTACTCGTTCCATAATACAAGATCTCGTGACTAAACTCATTAGTCACATGAAGCTTCTTATGATGTTGTATTACCAAGAGGGCCCAAAGATATCTCTCCGTCACATGGAGTTACATATCCCGGTCTCGATCCATGCAACCCAACAAGTACCTTCGGAGATACCTGTAGAGCACCCTTATGGTCACCCAGTTACGAAGTAGCGTTTGATAGCACAAAAAGTATTTCTCCGGTATCCGGGAGTGGCATGATCTCATGGTATAAGGAACTAATACTTGACATGAAGAAAGCTGTAGCAAACAACTAAACTATCTGATGCTAAGCTTACGATTGGGTCTGTCCATCACACCATTCTCCTAATGATGTGACCCCGTTATCAAATGACAACTCATTTCTATGGTTAGGAAACCTTAACCATCTTTGATCAACAATCTAGTCCAGTAGAGGCTTGTTGGGGAACGTAGCATGCAATTTTAAAAAAATTCCTATGATCACGCAAGATCTATCTAGGAGATGCATAGCAACGACACGGGGAGAGTGTGTCCATGTACCCTCGTAGACCGAAAGTGGAAGCGTTAGGTTAACGCGGTTGATGTAGTCGAACATCTTCACGATCCAACCGATCCAAGTACCGAACGTACGACACCTCCGTGTTTAGCACACATTCAGCTCGATGACGTCCCTCGAACTCTTGATCCAATAGAGGGTCGAGGGAGAGTTCCGTCAGCACGACGGCGTGGCGACAGTGATGGTGATGTGATCCTCGCAGGGCTTCGCCTAAGCACTACGACGCTATGACCGGAGGAGTAAACCGTGGAGGGGGGCACCGCACACGGCTAAGAGAATAACTGTTGTGTCTTTGGGGTGCCCCCTGCCCACGTATATAAAGGAGGGGATGGGAGGCCGGTCGGCCCCTAGGGGTGCGCCAAGTGGGGGTTGTCCCACTAGGACTCCTAGTCCTAGTCGGCTTCCCCTTCCTTCCAACAGAGAGGGGAAAGGGGAAAGAGGGGGAGAAGGAGAAGGAAAAGGGGGGCCGCGCCCCCACCCCTTGTCCAATTTGGATTGGGCTTGGGGGGCACCACCTCTCGTGGCTACCTCCTGAAGGAAATATGCCTAGAGGCAATAATAAAGTTATTATTTATTTCCTTATATCATGATAAAAGTTTATTATTCATGCTAGAATTGTATTAATCGGAAACATAATACATGTGTGAATACATAGACAAACAGAGTGTCACTAGTATGCCTCTACTTGACTAGCTCGTTAATCAAAGATGGTTATGTTTCCTGACCATAGACAAAGAGTTGTCATTTGATTAAACGGGATAACATCATTGGTTGAATGATCTGATTGACATGACCCATTCCATTAGCTTAGCACCCGATCGTTTAGTATGTTGCTATTGCTTTCTTCATGACTTATACATGTTCCTATGACTATGATATTATGTAACTCCCGTGTGCCGGAGGAACACTTTGTGTGCTACCAAACGTCACAACGTAACTGGGTGATTATAAAGGTGCTCTACAGGTGTCTCCAAAGGTACATGTTGGGTTGACGTATTTCGAGATTAGGATTTGCCACTCCGATCGTCGGAGAGGTATCTCTGGGCCCTCTCGGTAATGCACATCACTTAAGCCTTGCAAGCAATGCAACTAATGAGTTAGTTGCGGGATGATGTATTACAGAACGAGTAAAGAGACTTGCCGATAACGAGATTGAACTAGGTATTGGATACCGACAATCGAATCACGGGCAAGTAACATACTGATGACAAAGGGAACAACGTATGTTGTTATGCGGTCTGACCGATAAAGATCTTCGTAGAATATGTAGGAGCCAATATGGGCATCCAGGTCCCGCTATTGGTTATTGACCGGAGACATGTCTCGGTCATGTCTACATTATTCTCGAACCCGTAGGGTCCGCACGCTTAAGGTTTCGATGACAGTTATATTATGAGTTTATACGTTTTGATGTACCGAAGGTTGTTCGGAGTCCCGGATGTGATCACAGACATGACGAGGAGTCTCGAAATGGTCGAGACATAAAGATTGATATATTGGAAGCCTATGTTTGGATATCAGAAGTGTTCTGGGTGAAATCGGGATTTTACCGGAGTACCGGGAGGTTACGGGAACCCCCCGAGAACTATATGGGCCTTAGTGGGCCTTAGTGGAAGAAGAGGAGAGGCGGCCAGGGATGGGCCGCACGCCCCTCACCCCTAGTCCGAATAGGACAAGGAGAGAGGGGGCCGACGCCCCCCTCCTTCTCTCTCTCTCTCTCTCTCTCCCTCTCTCTCTCTCTCTCTCTCTCTCTCTCTCTCTCTCTCTCTCTTTTCCACCTCATGAATCCTATTCCAACTAGGATTGGGGGAGAAGTCCTACTCCCGGAGGGAGTAGGACTCCTCTTGGCGCGCCCTATGGTGGCCGGCCGGCCTCCCCCTCTT